AAGTACACTGCTGAGGGGAGCAGCGGGCGGGTCAGGAGAGGTCAGCTACGCCATGTGGTCACCTCCGGGGCAGGCGGGAATCGAACTCATGAGGAAGCGGCTTTAGATTCTCAGTGCTGTGCTTTAACCCGCTGCGCCACCAGGGAGGGCCATATGTCTTCTTTTTATATGTTAAGATTTTAGGTCTTACATTCAAGTGTTTTATTCATTTTGAGTTGATTTTTGTGTGTAGTGTGAGATAGTCTAATTTTATTCTTTTGCATTTAGAAGTCCAGTTTTTCCAGTGGCTTTCAGTTTTATTCTATTGGTCATATTGTTTGTTCTTATGCCAGTACTGTACTCTTTTAATTACTATAGTTTTGTAGTAAGCTCTGAAATCAGGAAGTATAAGTCCTCCAACTTTGTTCTTCTTTTCAGATTATTTTGTTTCTTCTGACTCTCTAGAAATTACCTGTGTGATTTTGGATGGAGAGTTACTTATTTTTTTTTTTTTAAAGATCTATTTATGCATACAGAACTGGGTTACAGGCCAGAGGTGCAGAGGTGGTGAGAGGATTCACCAGAGACAGAGTGGGGAACAGAACAGGCTGACTGATGACGTACACTAATGAGGGGAGCAGCGGGCTGGCCAGGAGAGGTCTGCCGCACCATGTGGGTCACCTCCGGGGTGGGGATTGAACTCATGCTGAAATGACTTTAGCTTCTTACTGCTGTGCTTTAATCTGCTGCATCACCAGAGAGGGCCTGAGAGTTACTTTTTCTGTTTAAAAAAAAAAAATCAGGAAAACACAAAATCTTTAAGATTTTGATAGATTGCATGGAGTGTGCATATTGCTTTGGGTAGTAGTGTCATTTTAGCAATATTAAATCCTCATTCCATGATTGGGGGATATTCATTGTAAGTCATTTTGATTTTGACACCTACCTGCACTTCGGTTTGTTTGACTGTTTGAAAAGCAATAATATGAAAGGTTTTGTGGTTTGGGAATATTGACTTTTAGTGGGTTAGGGGATGCTGATGGCGTCTGTTATCATGGGTTAACAGTGGTTATGGTTGAGAAGTGAATGGCTATAAGGGATTTTTCAGATTTGGGTCCATCTCTGTTTACATACAGATCAATTGATTTCCTTTTCTCCTCTCCATAGCCAAAACCACCCTAAAAACCTTAATAAGAAGTTGTTAATGAGGAAGAAAGGAAGCAGGGTTTTGTAGCTCATGCAAGACATCACATCGCTTACACAGGTCCAACTAAAGCATTATTTCCCCTTTTGTGACTGGACTTCCTATGGGAAGTGAAGGTTTACTTCACATTGATCCCCTGTGGTAAAGCACCTGTGATATCTATATGCAGGAGGTGTCGGACATTCGCTGAACAAGTGACATCATGAGAGCCACAGTGCTGGAGGGCCAGGAACCAATTTTTTTCTTGACCTTCTGTTTCCTATGTTTACGTTCCTCAGGTCTGTGAATATGCCTCCCCATGGCTTTCCCCCATCTGGAATGGTACATTTATGTATGCTCTTTGGGCTGCTGATGGCCTCCTGCTTCACCTTCTGCCTTAGTCATCAGAACCTGGTAAGTATCATACCACAAGTAAAGGGATCCTCATTGGGGTCCTAGAAAGCCCTCATGTCCTGAGGGTTACTATGGGAGTGGGTGAGCTTTTATTCTATAGGAATATGATTAGCACTGGATTACAGAGTATATATTCTTACTACCCATCCCTTAGTCCCCTGACCTCTGTTTAAATGTCATGGCACAGTTTGCCTTTGGGAAAATATGATGATGATAAATTTATCATGTACCATTGATTAAGTAGATTGTTACTAAATTCATCACAATTGTCATTTGTACTTCAAGAGCTTCCTGCTCCAAATGACAACCAAAAAAACACAAAATCTTTGAGATTTTGATATAGGAGCCCATGGGGTTAAGGGCTTTATTCTTTTTTTTTTTTTATGTATATTCTTAATCGTGCTCTACCATAGGGTTCTCCAGCTACCCTGTGAAGTAGACAGCTATATACTTATTATTCTCATTTAAAGGAGTAGCTGCTAAGGTTCAGAGAGACATTAAGTAAGTAACTTGGTCAAAATCATGCCACTAGTTTGTGGCAGAACTGAGAAGGTCAGGATTCTTCCCAGGAGCTGGGTGCTATGGTGAGCCCCAGTTTCAAATAGGTTGATTTTTCCTTGACTCATCCTTTCTTGGTGTTTTCTCAGTATGCCTGTGTCTTTGTATTCTCTTTCCCTCTCTTCTTCCTGTTCTTTTTTGGTCCCCCACCTTGGCCTTTCTTTATTAATCTAGACCTCATTGTTCAGGGTTTCTGTCATTGCCATAGGGAGGAACAGACTGCTTGGGAAGGCCCTGAGCTTGTTCTGGCTGCACTATGCAGAACTCTGTTCCTTGGCTCCTTGGCCTTCCCCAGTAACTGCTGCCCTTGACCCAGTGCCCTCTCTTTCTCCTCTCTGAAGAAGCCCTGACTGGCAAATCTCAGACAGCACTCTGGCCACCTTCCTAACCCCAGAGGCTCCCACTAAATGTTGAGTAAAGTGCTGGAGGCTTGGAGTGGGAAGCCCTTGAAGTGCAAATGATGATTGTGATGAATTTAATAACAATCCAGCTCTGCTGAGGTTCACCTCTGGCTCATGGCAAGCTTCTACCTTCTCTCTGAAGTCATTTGTTTTCTTCCTACTTTGTGAGCAGGAGAGAATATACAGTTAGGAGTCACAAATCCTTTTGAGCTTTTAATGCTCTTTGCTTAGATCTTGTTGGTACTTTTCACCCTCCTTTGGCTTCCTCTTCAAGGACAATGAGAATGGTATTCCAGTGACCCTTGAGGTGGGGGGGGCCTGGCCACAGCATAAGAATGAATCTGTTTCTGACATAACCTGGCTCAGAAAAGCCACGCATATATCTCAAGGGATCAGGGTTATGTCCCTTCACACCTGCAACTCATAAGGACCTGCGCTCTCCTCGTCATGAGCTTTGGCAGATGCACAATTAATAAAAGCGTGCTGATGAATTTACTTAAGGACTGTGTTAGTAAGTCCCTTTTGGATAATAATCCAACCAAACAGATGAGCTTTCAGAACCATAATTATTCTGGCCCATTTATATTAGCTCTATTGAATCTAGTCTCAGAAAAATGTTAATACTGACTTTCATCAACAGAAACTGCTTTTATCCTTATGTCTGTTCTTAAACCATATCCATTTGTCATAATCTTGCATCATGTGCTGAACACAAGTAGGAGTTGAAGCATCTTTTTCTCTCATACTATAAAAATTGCTGCCCTGATGGCATTTAAAATCCAAATTATGCAGCCAGCCACCTTCGCAACAGTGAAAATGGGCAGTGAGGCAGGAGGGGTTGATTAGGATCCTTTTCTTCAGAGTCAGGTACCCAGACAAGGCTCCTGGTGACTTGGAATTGTCTTCCTTAAGTGCCTCTGTGGGCACTCAGGAGCTGCTGGCTAGGTGTATCACTGTGTGTTCTGGAGCCAGCTTCCCTCTGGCTCATGCTGTAACACCTCTGTGGGATAGCACATCTTAGGAACAGTGAATGCTGAAGGGATATGGTTTTGAGGTATGCTGGAGTCTTTCAAAAAGTGAATGATGGCAGTTAATGGTGAGGAAACTAATGGAATCTAGTGGAAGGAGCACTTGGCAAACACCCTTTAGCCGCCTACTTTGGAAACTGGACCTGTATTTCCTTATTTATAAAACAGGGTTGGTACCTTCCTCTGGAGATTTTAGTGTAGATTAAATGTGACTATAGATGAAGTGTACCCAGCATTGACATTGGCACGGTATGGTCAGTGGATGGTCAATAAATGACAGCTTTTATTTCAGTAAAGGAATGGCTATTTCTCACTTTTAATTTGGACTGTCAGGTATGCTTCTGTCCCAAAATGTTGCATTGCAGACTGTCTCTGTCACAGTAGCTATCACTTTACCATTAGAGAGTCATTCATTCTCTTAGATCTTGAAGGCTTTGGTCTTTAAGACTCTGTTATTCATATACATACGCAAGGAAGTGTGACATGGTAAGCTGTTGTCAGCTAACACCTTAGGTGGGAATTCTTGACAGTCAGTTGAGAAGAAATTGGTATTTGGATTGGTGGTGGCAAGGAGAAGAGAGTACTGAGTATTCAGCATGAAGGGAAGCTTGAGGAGTCAGCTGAGAGGGCACCAGAACTTGGGATTTACTGTAGAGCTGACTAGCGGCTGTCCTGTCTGTGTTATCTCAGGGTCTTTCTTATTCTGTACACTGCCCGGCAGAGAGAAGGTAGTTGTTTCTCAGACTGTGTTTTCTCACCTATTCTACAAAAGCCTTCCCTTGGGAAGGGAATACTCTGGCAGATGTGCTTACTGCCCTCACTTCTTTCCCTCAGCATCCAAGGCACAACAGTTAGGACACATGCCTGAGAACAGAAATACAGGAGGGCTGTGCAAGGACTTTGGAGTCAGGCAGATCTGGACTTAAATCTGCTCTGCAGAGATTTTATCAGCAGTGTGATTTTTCAACTGGAAAATGGGAATAAAAATAGGTGTTCACAGATGAAACTTGTATGAATTGTGAGGCATGGAGAGCATTTTAGCCCAGTGCTGGACATTTGGTAAATGTATAATAAATGATTACTGCTGTTATCATTACAACCTCATCCCTGTAATGCTGCTTTCCTTCAAAAGCCTTTTCTGGTGTTTTCCTTTTGAGCTGACCGGCTAGCTTGTTTATGTAACTGATCTTCCCTTTGCTTGCCAGATGTGACTTGTGTAGACAGTTCACAGTTAGATTTGGAGAACAAGGCGAGCTAATCAGATAGGAGAGCATCACTTTTGTGTCACCCTCACTGAAAGCTGAAGTGTACTAGAAAATAACGGCAGATTGTCCGCGTGTGTCTGTACTTGTGTATAGCTTAAAAAACCTGATTCAGAAATGACAGACTAAGCATAAGCTCAAAAAACATTTTGAGCAGTGAAAGGACTGTTGCAAAAGTGTTTAGTGTTTGTTCTTCTGAAAGCTTGAAACATGTGGCTTAGCGGTTCATCAGTCTTACTTGAATCCTTCATCTTGAAAGTACTCAATTAACTGTGTTAAAGAAATCTAGAAAGAGACTTTCCTAGCCCACAGTTAGAATGAACACTAAGTAGTGTTGGGAGTGACCAAAGATTTACTGACAAGGACTGAATTAGGGCGGTAAAGAGTTGAGCCTTGCATCCAAGCTTGATAAAGTGGTAGTAAACTGACCTTGAGATCCTGGATGGGACTAGCTGAAGGTGGGACTGGGCCTCACATCAAGGACACAGCGATGAGTCACCCCTTTGGAATCTGAGTTTAGAATCTATATAAGAGACCCTTCCCCCTTATTGAGTTGGCAGTAGCTGCGGACCCCACTCTAAGGGCTCCGTCTCAGCTGCTGTCTGGGAGCAATAAACTCTGCTAGCTCAGCCTTTCTGCCTCCCGCTTTCCTTTCTTGAGGCCGGTCACAGAAGTTGGGACAAACCAAGTAGCTCTACCTAGATTTTGAAAGCCTTTCTGCCATATTCTCATTCATCATCCCCATTCCCTTTTTCTCTTTTGGCTTCCCTTGATGATGAGAATCTGGCTGCTCGCAGAGGTTACTGGTCAGTAGTACACCAGAGCAAGAATTGGGATTTAAAGCTTACAGTTATTTAGTTTGGCTCTCTTACTGTTCTAAAATAAAAAATGTAACAAAAATCTGGATTTCTCTTTCTCTTCAAGTTGAATGCCTCGTGACATTGGTGGGCCAGCAGGGCTCCAGTCTACCTAGCCTGCCACTGCTTGTTGTTTTACACCTGGCCCTGGAGGCTCCTTGCCAGCATTCCTCCCTGAAGCCCTGGGGGCATTTGAGCCACATGCCTCTGAGGGGAAATTAACATTCTCCCGGTGTCCTACTGTCCTACCATCTACTTTGTGATGCTTTTGGCAGAGGCTGACCAGAGGCTGGGTGCTAGGGCCACAAAGATTTAGTGATCTGGTGGGTCTGGTTCTTGGCTTCCAGTGGGCTTGGCTACTTTGAGCTTGCTTCAGTCCCAGGCATTTTTGCCTGTGAGACATGCCTGCCTGTAGGAGGGAGGTGTTCCTTCTTTTCTTCATGATTTCAAACAAAGCCCCTGTACTAGTCATGGAAGTATAGTGGTGAAAGAGGTGGACTCAGTGCTGGTCTCCTGAAACTTGGCTACTAGTTTGATGCCCATGCCCTCAGGCCATTGAACACCTGACTGTCTTCCTTTAGTCTCAGGAGCATGTTTAGTCTTCTGTTCCTACTTCTTTTGAGCTAGAAGAGTGCACAGTTCAAGTTGAAGGTTTCAGAGGGGTCTGAGAGGCCAGGCTGCACCGGTGAACACAACCCCAACCTGACTTAACTGAACAGTGCTGTCTTGTGTAGTAACTATTGGATGTCACAGCACAGACCCATCTACCCAGTCACTGCCTTTACAAGAAACGTGAATAGTGGCTATCATGTACTCAGGGCTAATAGTTTAGGGTAATACTTATCTAATATGTGAGCTAGGTGTTATTTCTACCTTACAAGTGTGGAAACTGAGGTTTAGAAAGTTAAGTAACTTCCGAGTTGCAAGAAACTTTTCAAATTTTGGGTTCTCTTAACTCTGTGCTGTGCTTCTTATTACTTGTGAAGTGGTTTGAAGCCTTTTCTTGCTTAGGGTATTTTCCTTACTGGTGCTTAACAAGACTTGAAATTCTGACCTCAGAATTTCATGCCTTTATTTCTTATTAACGTTTAAAGATCTTTGGAGGGGCTTTACATTGTCATCAATACCTTCACATCTTAACCTTTCCTTTCACAGCTAATTAAAGGTCAGAACTTAAGGGAACCAGGCGCGTGGGGTACTTATCTGGAGCTGGGGCACTGCTTGGAGGAAATACATCCTTACCTCCTGTACAGGGCTAGAGGTATTAGAAGACCGAAGAGAGTTCTGTGTAGCATACCTAGCACAGAGCTGAGTTCATAGGAGGAATCCACAAAATATACTGACTGTTATTAGGGGAAAATGGGAGGGAGGCGGGAGGGCTCAAATTGCCTCCCAGTGGGCAAGTGTGAGTTCCTCCTTATGCTACTAAATGTAATTTCCCAGAGCTCTGGAACCCTCTGGTTCCAATTTCCCCTAGCCGTACTGCTTTTATGCAAGAACAGGTTTAAAAATGGGATAGGAAGATGGGAGGTTGGGAAGGAGCAAAATGAATAATATTTTGTATTTATCTTGCATCTCCGTCTTCTGAGCTCAAACTGCTCCACAACACCACCTCATTAATCCTCCATGCGCTCCATGAAGTGGAAAGAAACTGGTTTTAGGAAGAGGTTTCTCACTTGGACATCTTTTCCCCTCAGCCCAGTTGAACAGCTCACCTTCCCATTTGAAATCCCTCTGTGGATTGCAGTGTCCCCAGAGATCATTTATGCCCTGTAGGCACCTGGGATGCTGCCAGAGCCCTCGCTGTGCCCTGCTGGGTTGTCTAGAATCGGCTGAACCTCAACTGCCAGCTTTTGTACATCTTTATCGGTCATTTGAGCCTTACTCTCCAGTTCATGTGTGTTTTTTCTTTGATACATATTTTTATGTTTTTAATTACAGGAGTAATAAGTGGCAGCTTTAAACATCAAACAGTAAAGTATCAAGTGGAAAAAAGAGACTCTTACATTGTCTCCTGCACCAATCCCTTTTCTCTGAAAATTCACTTAATCGCTTTGAATATGGAAAATTTTGACCTTCTGCACATATGAAAGGGTCATATACATACAACTAACCGTGTCACCTCACTTGTGCTGGTTCTGTAGCCAACCTTGTGAAAGGTCCAAGCAAGGCTGAGACAGGGAGCGGGTTATGGAGAAGAAAAGAAAAAACCTCAGGCCCTTATCTTTCTGCCTGATGCCTAGATGTGTTGGTCATGTTCCGTTTTCTTTTCTCTGAAGGGGTTTGCACTGACAAACTCAGAGAAGAGCAGCACCAAAGAAACTGAGAGAAAGGAAACCACCAAGGAGGAGGAGCAGGGACCTGAGGTTCTGGAGGTGCTTCACCCCACTCATGAGTGGCAGGTGCTTCGACCAGGTACCAAGTCCAGCCCTGTCCCCGTGAACACACTCTAAGTTGAAACTGCATGTGTCCTTTGTCCCCACAGGCCTGCTTTGTAGGAGCAGCCACTCTGGCCTGCCAGATGGGAAGGTGTGGTCTCAGAGTGGTGACTGCTGCTGTCAGTCTCAGGGACCTTCATTTTCCAGGCGAACAGAGAATGTAGCATCTGAGTGCATTGGAAGGAAGACAGGTAGTGGGTGGCCGAGCTTTCTGAGCAAGTGATTGAAAACTTTCTTCCCTTGCACTTCTGAAGCACAGGAGAGGTAATGACATGTGCCTTGCTCTGCAAATGCTATTTTGGGTTCTGCTGCTCGGCTCAGTGCAGCTGAAATATTGTTCACGGGAGAGTCCTGAGCACCAGTGTGGGGCAGAACTGTTCTGTTGCTACAGGCACCTGTGCCAAGAAACAGGGGTTGTCCCTGGCCTGGTTTATAAATGGGCCATTCTCAGAAGGACAGATTTCTAGCCCTTTTATAAGCTTGGACCCAGAGCTTAAGATAATAATGAAAATAGCCAGCAATTGTGGAGTGTTTGTCATAATCAGGTATTATGTTAAGGGCATCCTGTGTACAATCTTGTGAACTCTTCACAATAATAGAACTGTTACTATCTTTATTTTCAGATGGCAGCATTAATTCTAGAAGGGGTAAGGTAATTTGACTTAGGTGATTCACCTAACTTACCCTAAATTATTGACTCCACAGCCTGAAATCAACTTCCTCTCACTTGTCCTCTTAGTCCCTGCTCTTTTGACTTGAACCCCACTATAGTGACATGTAAGCCTGGTCTCAGAAGTAGGTTCTTTGTATTCTGCCCTGTGGCTAGGTGGGTGGTAAACCCCGGCAGCTGCCAGGGTGTAGTTTCATCAGCTCTTTGCTGATACTCAGCACCATGTTCTTACTGCCCCATTGCTGCTATGCTGGCAGGAGCATTGTATGCTGTGCCAGCCAGCTTTCTGGTAGTAATATCACTCCTGGATTGGCCTACCGGTAGTTGCTGCTACCAGAGAGTGATGTAGCACCAAGCAAATCAACAAAGAGTAATGAAGTTGGATGGAGGGCGCTTTTAGGAACAGAGGTACTGGGCTCAGCAGATCCAACCTCTGGCTTCCCTCCTCCAACTTCCCTGAGACCTCAGTCCCCCTGATCCCTGAGGACTAAATTTAGAGGAGCCTTTAGGGGTGGGGAATAGAAGGTAGGTATTATATGTGCTGGGTTTATGAGGTGAAAGTACCAGTTTTAACCAGGCAAATGTCTGGCCCAAATGGCGATTGGTATCCTGTGCCCTGTTTCAGCCCCATATGTTCCTGTAGTACCTTTAGAGGTCTGGTCCACATTGCAGAACAGTCCTGCAAGTCTTGCTCAGCCCTCTGCTAGTGGTTCAGCACAAGAGTTGTCCTTGAGTTGGGGGAGGACCAGAGCTCATGTGACAAGGGCAGGTGAGAGACTCCTGGAGAATTAGAATGGGGCACTGGTTGTCTTCATTTAACTGGCTGCCTCATTGACATTAACCTCTGTCTTCCAATTTTTCAAGAGTTTCTTGAAAGTTTTTCTGCTCCAAACTTCTTGAAGTAACCACAAAGTCAGGTATGTAGAGATTGAAGCATTGACACTGAGGTCTTGCACCTCAGGGGTCAAAGCTGCTGTGTTTCCAGGCATATCTGTACTTCCTAAAAACTGCCCAAGAATGTCTTTTGTCTACACATGTCCCCAGAATGCGACAGGTTACGGAAGATAAAGTGTGAGGCTTGTTCTGGCCTTGGGATCTGATGTGGGATGGTTCAGAGCTTGGCCATGGGGAGTCATTGTAGCAGGTCTCTTCTAGGCATTGGTACATGATTGAGCTGTTTGTGTGTATAGTGAGATAACTTTGTATGAATGTCTATTGGTAGGGATTTGATCGCTTGGTGGTCTGTGTGGATATCTGACTCTTGACTTCAATCAGAACTTAATTTGTTGTGTTCTAAATAATGCCTGGGAACTTTCAGAACAGCTCCTTAAATGTTAAATGTGATATAGCCAGTTCTGGGAACTTTTTATACGTTGGTAAGTTGGGGGTGAGGTGGGGGGATGTAGTATAACTTACTGATAAAGAGGATAGACTTTAGACATTGCCAGTCCTGGGTTCGCATTTTGGGGGCAGGTCACTAAATTCTTCTGCCTTTCAGAAGGTTTCCTCATTGGTAATATGGGTGAAGGGGAAATTGGTGACATGGGGAATGGGAAATGCCCTGCCCTGCCTTCTCTAGAGGCTGCTGGGGTGCTCCTTGACGTGGGGGTGCCACTCAATTTGTAGCAATTCTGATTTTAAATGGCAAATTCTCCATTTGTGCCAATTCTTCAATTCAGTTATGGGATTGAATGCCAAGGAAGTTGCATCCGTGTGTTAGCCTTCCTGTTCTGTGGTGTTATATAGGAAAAGGAATGTGCAGTGTGAAGGAGAGACATACATGGTTACCTTCCACAGAGGTTTTAATGAGGAAGCAAAAGAGTTTAGCCCAGCATTTTCTACCTGAGAGTTAGGGACGTAGCTCTGGAAGATGGTAGAGTTTCTCTCAGGAACTTTTAAGATAGGGCAAGATGGCTACCGTATGTTGACAGTTACTGATCCTAGTTTAGTACCTTTTGTCCCCTATTGTACTGGGGCATAAGATCTGGGTTTTTTGAAAGGTGGATATCCAGCCTGCCTGGCATACCAAGGTGGTGAGCCCATGACCTCGTGGGGCTTCCCACCAGGCCTGGTGGGAATTGGGTGCTAGCCACTTGGCCCTGGAGTATCTGCAGCCACTGTCTCGAAGGGTGCCTTCTCTGTTATTACTGTCAGCATCCTCACTGCGAGCTGCTTGTTCCTGGAAGTGATTTTCCTGTCTCTTTTTCTTCTGGTTTATTTTGGGATCTGTCTCACCTTACGGAGGCACAGCAAGCATTTGAGTGTGGATTCAGCATCAGCTGTTCACAAGCAAGCAGAGGAAAGCTGTTTGTTGGCAGGTTCCTATGGGTTCTGGGCATGGAACTCAAAAATGTGTCTTGTGGCTAAGGATCCCTGAACTGCCTATGTTTTTATCATAAGAGCCAGTCAGCTCCTTGGGTATTTTCTGGTGACTTCTGCTCCCTGCACATTTTCTGAGAGCCTGCTTTGTCTCAGGCATTGTACTGGTAGACGGAGATACAGATAATAGCCTACATATAACAAACATCAGCTATGCCAGTTATCCTTTGATTGCAGGGACTAGAACTACCCTCACTTTTATATACAAAACTGAGAGTGGGAGAAGTGACTTAGCCAAGTGACCAATACGTGATTGAGTCAGATTCATATCTGCCTTTGTCTGGATAGCTAGTGGGATATGACCACTGCTTTCTAGCAGCTTATGGCCTTGTAGAGGATCAGAAACAGGAAAAGCTACCAGGTGGTTGAGACATCCTGGTGGAAGTGTCTTATGCTTTTAATGTGGGCATGAGGGAAGGTTAGGGCCTTTTCTCTGTAACTGAAATCAGGGACTCATACTTTAGGTACTAAACACTCCAATACCACCTTTGGTTCTCTTTTATCTGTGTGGCTTTGGTTGAGATGCCTAGACTTTCTGAACCTTAGTTTTGTTCATTGGAAAACAGGAATGACAATATCTACAGAGGTGGCATGAGACTGACATAAAATTAACATCTATAAAACGTTATACACAGGGCCTTGCACATAGGAAATATTCAATAAGTGACTATAGTTGTCATTTTAGAAAACAAGGACAAAAAACCCAACACAACCTTTACTTCCTTTCCTCTGGCCCCTGAGAGGGAAATAGGGTGGTTGAAGCAGCCTGGGCAGAGGGCCCCCATTCCTTCCCGTTAGCTTGAGCCTCATATTGGCCTCATGTGGGGACCTCAAACCTGAGGCTCTTTATTGACCTGAGCTGACTTTCAGGCTGCTTTGAGAACCTCTGAAATATTGACATTAGCAAAAAGAGCCAACTTGATGGGAGCTCACAGGAAGCTTGTGCAGGAACACATTCATGTGAGAGGGTTAAAAAAAAGGAAAAGAAAAAATATCCAAATCATCAACAACTGATGAGAGCAATCCAAGAATTACAGAGCACCCGCCATCTGGTCAGATCATTTCAAATCTGCACGAGCAATAGGAGGGAATTGAATTTTAAAAACCTCATTTATAGTAGACCAACTACTCTCTTTCAAGTATTTAAGAGAGGAGTCTGGTTTCCTGCAGACCCTGGACATCTGTCTGAAGGAACACCTGACGCTGGTCTCGGTGACTGTGCGTGATAATCACCAGGAGGCCTTCGACTCCTTGCAGCTAGGTAGGGGCTGTGTGATTCCCAGTCCTCTGGTGCCAAGTTTGTGTTCAACAGTGGCTGAGTGTGTGCTTGGTTCCAGGTATTCAGGTCCTGTAAATTTAAGGACTGAGTCAGTCTCACTACTTTTACTTCAGAGGTCATGAGTCCCAAGCCACTCATACTTCTCACTGATCATCTGTGCCCTGGGGATTCCCACAGCCCCCTCCTTGGGTTGATAATTTAGCTTACCGAACTCAGGAAAACAGTTTTGCTGGTTTATCATAAAGGAAACAAGACAGAAATAGCCAAATGGAAGAGATGTGTAGAGCAAGGTGTGAGGGGTAGGGGTGAGCAGAGCTTCTGTGCCCTCTCAGGGCACACTACCCTCCCAGCACTTGGAGGTGTTCACCAGCCCAGAAGCTGTCTGGCCTTTAAGGGGCTTTTATGCAACAGACAGCCACATTTGATTAAATCATCAGCAGCAGATATTGAACTCAATCACCAGCCTCCCTCACCTCTCTGGAAGTTAGGAGATTGGGCTAAAAGTTCAACTTCTAACCAGGGTTTGGGGTTTCTGGTGACCAGTCCCCATCCTCATGTTACTCAAAAACCTCCCACTTCTATAAATTTAGGAATAACAAAAGGTAGCCCTTTGGCTCTGTAAACTGTAAGGGTTTTTAGGCTCTGTGCC